CGTTCAATTTAGAGTTTTGACTCAGAACCTTTAACTTCAAACGTCAATGCATTATCCAATTACCTTCTGAGTTCAGATATCCATTCACTTGAATTTTGAGTTATTCTTGTAATGGTTTGAATTATCTCCCTCTTTCTTAAGAGAAATTCATCTTGTTAGAATATTATTGCGACTCACCGGCAATTGAGTTTATTTCAGTCAAGGTCTTTTTTGACCTATTTAATGGACAAAGTCATCCATGCTATATAAACTTGTTGTACTGTCATTATTATTGTGCTTGTATGAAATACATATGCTTGAACATTGTTTAGCGCCTACGCATGTACTCATTCTGCTAGCTTCATTATTAACTGCCTAATCTATTCACTGACTCATCCATTTTCCCATACATATATATATGTGTACATTTGCACCCATTGACTACAACTACTCGCTACTGCTACAATCGTAGTTCGCTTGCTCATCCATTTTGCCTCTGCTGTCTGGTCAGAATTATCTGCTAAATAAACTGTAGTGGCTGCTTCCTTTTGCTTTCTCATTTCAAACATCGTTGAAGATTATACGATAACGGTTCGAGGGTGATTAGTTATCGAAGCACAGCCACTACAGAATTTTGACGAAATAATCGAATGTCAAAAATACGACTCGCTTCATCTCAATTTGGATTATCATATGAACTATAATTATAACCGTAGATTTATATTACTATTTTAATTACACGTGCATTATTTCACAAACGCTATTAAACGAGACGATCATAATCATAATAAATAACGATTATTCATAAACAATTGATATATTCGTGCAACTTAGTAAGTCTGTTCCATTTTATAAATTGTGCCATTTTTTATTATCATTGTTTTGGTCTGTCTATATTTCCTTCTCACAGTTACATTATCTTCGTGTGCTACTTAAATTTTTATAAACATGTCTTACGAAAACACAGTGTCAAGCGTACAGCAAGGCTCGTCCGTGAGGTCTCTTAACCTTCCTGCCCCTTCTTTTAAAATCACAGACCCAAAACTTTGGTTTATAAGACTTGAAAATTTCTTTCTCGCTAACCGCATTCTCTTGCAAAAGGATAAATTCGGCCTCACAAGCACACTACTCTCAGACGAACTAGCAGACAGCGTTTGAGAGGCATTAACAAAGCCAGACACTGAAAAGCCATACGACGTACTAAAAGAGAGAGTAATTAAAACCCTCTCTCTCAGTGACCAACAAGGTGTTGAATAGCTCCCTAAACATGTGCAAATTGGAGATAGAACTCCGTCACAACTAAAAAATTATATGAAAAGTCTACTTGGAGATAGGCACATTGACAATAACCTCTTGTATCAACTGTGGCTCCGCCGACTCCCGGCAAATATACAGCAGATCCTAGCTGTGGGAGATACGGACGCTGATTTGGACAACATAGCAAAGATAGCTGATAGAATATACGAAAGAAGCAAGCAAACAAGCCCCCCACTACACAACGTGACGATAGACGATAGACTTGATACTCTACAGAAGGCAATAAATGTTTTGTGCCGAAAACTTTCAGAGTTAACGCAGAGAGAAAAGCCACGAAGGTCATCGTGAGATCACTCGCGTGACAGGAACCGGTCAACTTCTAGACGACACACAACTCCCACGATATGTTGATATCATCAAATGTTCGGCTACAGGGCTAGAAAGTGCCTGCAACCTTGTGGATTTACCAGGGCTGGTAACAGATACCCACATGTATCAATATCAACGGCATCAATGAACATAATGCCTGAAAATAGTCGCCTCTTTAATATATAAGACCAAACCACTGGCGCACAGTTCTTAGTTGACACTGGAGCGGAAATTAGTGTAGTGCCTCCAGTTAGCGAGGAAAGTAAAAATCGTTCATCCGTCATTAGTGGTAAGGGCGGCAAACAAATCAGATATTAGGACATATGGCAAACGGAAATTGTCCCTAGATTTTGGAGGTGGCGCTTCATACCGCTGGAGCTTTGTCATAGCGGACGTATCGATGCCCAAAATAGGCATAGATTTCCAATGTAACTTTGACCTGTTAGTAGACTCTAGACGACACAGACTTATAAACGGCAGTCAAACCACTTCGATAACAGGAATACTTACGGAAGCCGTTTCAATGAACCTTGTGATAGATAAAAGTCGCAATGATCCATATAAATTGTTGTTAAGGGAGTTCCCGGAACTCGTAAAAGTGACATACCATAAACGTGATCTCAAACATTCTATTCAGCATCACATAGTAACGAATGGTCCCGAATTGTGCGTCAATATTGCAACCATTAACAGACGTGTCACGTGGACACGCACGGACATTCCAGTTATCACCAGACGCGATTCAAGCATTCGAGAACGCTAAAAAAGCACTAACTAAAGAAGCGACACTAACCAGACGAAAGAGTGAGACACCATTAGCTATCATGACGGGTGCATCGGACGTGGCGGTAGGAGCCGTTTTACAACAATTAGTAAATGGCATATAGGAACCACTCTCATTTTTTTGCGAAAAGACTGAATCTGACATAAACAAGATATAGTACTTTTGGAAGAGAACTCGTAGCAGTTTACTTAGCAATTAAACACTTCCGTCATATGGTCGAAGGCATAAATTTTACTGTCTATACAGACCATAAACCACTAGCAAAAGCGTTAAGTGCAAAGCAAGACGATTATTCACCGAGAGAGGTCCGACAGCTAGAGTTCATCTCACAGTTCACGTCCGACATACAGTACGTTAAAGGACAAGAAAACGATGTGGCCGACGCATTGTCAAGAGCAACGATAAGCACACTTATGGCAAGTGTGATTGATTGCAACGGTCTGGCAAAGTTACAGGAGAGAGACATCGAGTTAAATAAACTCAGATCCGGTGGTACAACATCATTAGTACTCGAAGAGGTGCGGTTCGGCAACACGAAAGTAATTTGTGATGCATCAACAGGCCGACCGCGACCATTTATTCCGAAAACGTTGCGACAGAAAATATTCGAAAGCATGCACATGTCGCACTCAGGAATAAAAGCCACGATAAAACTGATCAGTGAACGATTTGTATGGACAAACATAAATCACGATGTACGTAATTGGACACAAGCATGCATAAAATGCCAAAAAGTCAAAGTACATCGCCATACTAGCTCTGCAGTGAGTCCGCTTTTACACCCAGACACTAGATTTGAACACACACATCGATAATGTAGGCCCACTGCCTGTTTCAAATAGATACAATTATATATTTACATGCATCGACAGGTTTACACGATGGTCAGTAGCAGTTCCGATAAAAGACATCTCAGCTGAAACGGTAGTCAAAACCCTAATTGAAAATTGGATTTCTTACTATGGCGTGCTAACAATTATCACAACTGATAGAGGAGCACAATTTGAAAGTCGACTCTTTCAGCAGCTTACAGAACTCCTCGGTATTAAACGAATCCGAACGACGTCGTACCATCCAATGGCAAACGGAATGGTCGAACGCCTACATAGGCAATTAAAAGCGTCCCTTACAGCCGTCATCGTTAACAACGATTGGTCTAATAAACTTCCCCTAGTAATGTTAGCCCTAAGAGCAACAATTAAGCAAGACATGGGATGTTGTCCAGCCGAATTGGTATACGGAACTACTCTACGGTTACCTGGAGAATTTTTCATTCCAAGTAAAGGTGTTCCGACTGATGTATTCGGCTATGTACAACGCCTGAGAAAGCACATGAGCGACTTAAAAATAACAACTCCCAGACCACAACAACGACGAGCATTCATACCACAGGAACTGCATAACAGCACTTACGTATTCATTGGAAGAGATAAAGTACAACCACCTCTACAACTGAGTTACGATGGCCCATTTAAAGTGATAGACAGGACGAACAAAACGGTTACCATAGAGAAAGCTGGGAAGACAGATGTTATTAGCGTCGACCGAGTAAAGCCAGCTTTTATCGATAGCGATATTCAATCAACAAGTACAAACTCCTCTATGATGGTCACATCAGAGAAACACGAGTCGCAAGAATCAACGACGTTAACTTGACAAAAAGACAAGACTTCAATAACAACAAGATCTGGCCGCAGAGTAAGATGGCACGAACAATATATCGCTACGATTTTTTATTAATGATCATCTACTATTTTAAATAATAATTATAACTTCCACTTCATTGTATACACACGCATTAATAAGCTCATGTTATACGCCATAAAACTCAACGTATCTTATGTACTCTAACACTTATTCGTATAATTTTTGTTTAAAATGTAAAAACAATACCGCATTCCTTCTATTTCTTGCTATTATTTTATATAACCTCACGGACGGGCACAAACCAAATGTACAGCACACACTAACTTCATCTTAACTTTGTAAAAGCCACTTTTTTTCAAACGAATGCAACTACCCTATTCAGTTTACTATTTTTTGTGCAAACACAGACATTTTCTCCATATATCTTTGTTTGCACGGGGGAACTATTAGAGCGACTCACGTGCAATTGAGTTTATTTCAGTCAAGGTCTTTTTTGACCTATTTAATGGACAAAGTCATCCATGCTATATAAAATTGTTGTACTGTCATTATTATTGTGCTTGTATGAAATACATATGCTTGAACATTGTTTAGCGCCTACGCATGTATTCATTCTGCTAGCTTCATTATTAACTGCCTAATCTATTCACTGACTCATCCATTTTCCCATACATATATATATGTGTACATTTGCACCCATTGACTACAACTACTCGCTACTGCTACAATCGTAGTTCGCTTGCTCATCCATTTTGCCTCTGCTGTCTGGTCAGAATTATCTGCTAAATAAACTGTAGTGGCTGCTTCCTTTTGCTTTCTCATTTCAAACATCGTTGAAGATTATACGATAACGGTGATTAGTTATCGAGGCACAGGCACTACAGTGAATCTCCAGTCACATTTGAGACCTTTAGTTTTAAAGAGCCATATAGCTTGTGAAATATACCATGTACAAATAACTTACTTTGAATTTCTTTTCTGGTTATTCCTTCTATTAATGAATCTAACGGGAACCAAGGTTCAATTGGTTCGTGTATACCATATGAACAACATTTCTTTGTTGTATTAGAACATAGAATTGGTACCTTTTCTACATGAATAAAAATATCAATAAAATATTTTAGAATTATTTAAATTACAATATTACTGCTATGGGAAAATAGTCAATTCACTTGTTATTACACAAGCAAGTGACTATCAAGATTCAGTCGCTGAGAAGATAGTGTGATGGTACAGCTGAGGGTGAGGAGAGTTAGCTCTCTCTCTCTCCAAATGCTCTTACATGGCCAGGTGCATACAACCACTGACAGGGAAATCCTACTCATTGCCTTCTTGCGGTGGGTGTGTTGTTTACGAAGTTGAGAGGACGAAAAGTGAATGACCGGCGCTTTAACCTGATTTGTAATCACATAGAATCCACATAGAGGAGTTAGGAAACTCTGATTCCAACCCAACAATGCACATGTGCTTCAGTATCGTGAGGAAAGGAATGTAGTAAGAATCAATTGTTGGTCAGTGGTTACCATGGGATTTCATGCCTTAAAGTTGCTCCACTGCTTTGTGGATCAGACCTTTACGTTGAAGGCTCGGTGTTTGGCCCCCTAACAAAACCACCTGCTTCAGTCTGAACACCTAAGCAGTATTACAGCCCACACACAAATCAAGTGACTTGTGTGGCGTATATGTATTTGGTGCTCCTTTGTACTAATGTTTATGTGTTCAAATAAATAAATACTGGGTTCGAGTTCCAAAAGTGAACATCAATTCTGAAATGCAAATACATCCAGCTGACAATTTCTTAATAGAATGACACTCATGTCCTAGATTCCTCAACTAGACACTATTTATCTTTGTTTATTGATGCTTAACTGTTATTTTCTTTACTCACATCCTGAAAAGATTAGCCTATTTCCTCTAATTTGTCAAATTAGGTCATTTTTCTCAATATTAATTGAGAGGAAAAGCCAGTAGAACGACATCAATCCAACGAATTTACCAAATCATTCACTCAGTAGTAGCTATCGGTGGTGTTTTTGATAGAGTTTTGTCCTCTGAGCTGAATGGTTTGGTCATAGAGCTTTCATCGTTCTTCTGAATGACATCATCAGTACAAACTTCAGATAGAAGTGAAGTGTTTGAATTTCTCCACATGTGATTCATACCTTGTTCAGTACACCTTAATGTTGATCGATTCTTACTGACTTCAAACCTGTTATTGTTTACTTCTTTGTTGTGGTTATATCTTCCATTAGTTTGATTTATATTCCTATATTTGTACATAATTTTCCTGCTTGGTTGAAAAATTGGATCGATTTCAATGTGCTTGTTTATTGCTGATGTCGTTCAAAAAACACAATGAAAGTTCCACGATCAAACCAACCAACTCAGAGAATAAAGCTCCATTGAAATCATCCACTTGATCTACAAATCTTCGCCAACATCTCAAGATCAGCAGTGTGTACGTTAGCTTAGTGGTATTTATCTTAGGCTTCAATGGTTATTCATTTGAATTATATTACTTATTAATACTACTAACCTGTAATAGACTTTAGATGCTTTCTTTTCATAGTATTCTTTTTCTATTTACAATGAAATGAAAATCATTAATTCATTATGATTAATATCAGATTGGTTTTGTGGATACTTAGCAAATTCAATGGTAGTCTAGCGATTGAATGCTCGCGCGCGAAACCAATAGGTCCTGGGTTCGAATCTCGCAGGGGGCGAGGTCGTGGATACGCACTGCTGAGGAGTCCCACAATAGGATGAAACGGCCACCCAGTGCTTCCAGGTTTTCCATGGTGATCTAGCTTCAACTGACGCATGATCTTAACCATTGAAATCATTATGATTGTTTTATTATATCAATTATGAAGTTCTTATAACTTGTGACCATTGTAAACTCTATCAATATATTTCACGTAATGATACCGCCAAATAGATTTTAGTGATTTATCGACCTGATCAATGATGAATCAAATAAATACGAGCAGTCTACATGATTTCAACCAGCCCAATCTCTGAAATCTCCCAAAAACCCCTTCCGACATTTTAATATTGACAAAACACTGAATTTTATATCAGTTTTGTGATATTGGTTTAATTGATTGGTAATGTGTATATCGACATAGTTAAAGCTTGTTCCATCTGTTAAGCCTAAAGATTATGATTTGTTAAATTTTCATGATTCTCAATAAAAGTTTGTTTCATTCATTCAGTTATAATTTAGGATTAGGCAAATGCAAGTTACCATACCTCACTCATTAGCACAACAAGATGAACACCGGATTCATAGAAGTAGTTACTTAAATGGTGGCAATATATAAAATAAAGGTTGCATATAAGGATATGATACAGGAAGAAAGAATTCTTTCGTAGAAAGAAAAATATAAAGAAATTTTAATCTCTTAGTTCAAGGGAAGACAGAGAGTGTATACACACCTACGCGATTGAGATCGATTCTGAGCCATGTCACCCAGAGTCTTCAATCATTGGTTACGACAGTTACATGGACCTTAACCAAGTAATATGCATCTACCAACATGGCTCAGACTAGAAGTTAATGACTTTGTGGACTGATACTATATTTTGGTTTGGCCACCCATAACTTTCTTCCAACCATCTCCAAAACCGGTCGGTAATGCACTTTGATGTGAATACTTACTTACTTACCTACGCCTGTTACTTCTAATGGAGCATAAGCAGCTGACCAGCATTCTCCAACCCACTCTATCCTGGGCCTTCTTTTCTAGTTCCATCCAATTCTTCTTCAGTTTTCTCATGTCTGTCTCCATTTCTCGGCGTAATGTGTTCTTTGGTCTTCCTCTTTTCCTTTGACCTTCATGATTCCATGTGAGGGCTTGTCTTGTGACGCAGTTGGGTGCTTTCCTCAATGTGTGTCTTATCCACTTCCAGCGCTTCTTCCTGATTTCTTCCTCCGCTGGGATCTGGTTTGTTCTCTCCCACAGTACGTTGTTGCTAATGGTGTCCGGCCAATGGATCTGAAGTATTTTGCGTAGACAATTGTTGATAAACACCTGTATTTTCTGGATGATGGCTTTTGTAGTTCTCCAGGTTTCTGCCCCATACAGTAAAACTGTCTTGACATTTGTATTGAAAATCCTGACCTTGTGTTGGTTGACAGTTGCTTTGAGTTCCAGATGTTCCTCAGTTGTAAATATGCTGCTCTTGCTTTGCCGATCCGCGCCTTCACATCTGCATCAGATACACCCTGTTCATCAATGATGCTGCCCAAATACGTAAAGATTTTTACATCTTCCGAATCTTCTCCGTCAATTGTGATTGGATTGATGCATTCTGTGTTGTATCGGAGAATCCTGCTTTTCCCTTTGTGTATATTGAGATCTATTGCTGCTGAGGCTGCCGCCACACTGTTCATCTTCTCCTGCATCTGTTGTTTCGTTTGGGATAGAAGGGCCAGATCGTCTGCGAAGTCTAGATCATCCAACTGCATCCTAGATGTTCATTGTATCCCGCGCTTTCCTTCGAACGTTGACGTTTTCATGATCCAGTCGATCACCAGGAGAAAGAGAAAGGGTGAGAGTAAGCAACCTTGCCTAACACCGGTCTTCACTTTGAACGACTTTGTCAACTGTCCTCCATGCACGATTTTGCAGTGTAATCCATCATATGAGTTCTGTATGATATTGACTATCTTCTGAGGCACGCCGTAGTGTCGAAGAAGTTTCCATAGTGTTGTTCTGTCCACGCTATCAAATGCCTTTTCGTAGTCAATGAAGTTGATGTAGAGTGATGAATTCCATTCAATTGATTGTTCCACAATGATCCGTAGAGTTGCGATTTGGTCTGTACACGATCTATCCTTACGGAATCCTGCCTGTTTGTCACGAAGTTGGGCGTGTACGCAGTCCCTCATCCTGTTTAACAATACCCTGTTGAAGACTTTTCCCGGTATTGAGAGAAGAGTGATGCCCCTGTAGTTATCACACTTGCTGAGAACGCCTTTCTTCGGTATTTTGATCAGTAGTCCTTCTTTCCAGTCTGTTGGTACTTGTTCCTCATCCCGAATCTTATTGAAGAGAATGTGGAGTATCCTTGCAGTTGCCACTACGTCTGCTTTTAGTGCCTCTGCTGGGAGGTTTTCCGGTCCTGCTGCTTTGCCACTCTTGATTTGTCTGATGGCCATGCTGATTTCTTCAATTGTTGGTGGGCCAACATTGATTGGGGGGTCCGTGGTTGCTGTTTCGATGTTGGGTGGATTCAGTGGGGCTGGTCGATTCAACAGTTCTTTGAAGTATTCTACCCACCTGTTTTGTTGCTCTTCAATGTTGGTGATTACCTTTCCTTCCTTGCTTTTCACTGGTCGTTCTGGTTTGCGGCGATTTCCAGAGAGTTTCTTTGTCGTGTCATACAATTGTCTCATGTTTCCTTCTCTTGCAGCCTTTTTCGCCGTCGTTGCTAAATCTTCCACATATTTACGTTTGTCGGTTCTGATGCTCCATTCCTTGTGGTGGTGCTTCTTGTGACCCAGGACCTCATGGCATGTTGAAGTGATTGCCTCTTTGATCCCTTCCCACTTGCTCTCCACAGTAGTTCCTTCTCCATTGAGTAGATCATGAAAGGCCTGGAACTTATTGCTGAGGACTATCTTGAATTCGTTGAGTTTGTTAGTATCCTGAAGAAAGGCCGTATAGAACTTTTGTGATACTGTCTGCCCCGTTGTCCAGTGCTTCTTGAGTTTCAATTTCATCTTGGCGACCAGTAAGTGATGATCTGATGCTATATCAGCTCCTCTCTTGGTTCTCACGTCCTCTATAGTCCTCCTGAACGTTTTGTTGATGCAAATATGGTCGATTTGGTTTTGTGTATGCGTTTATGTGGGAATATGGTGCCGCCTATGACCAGCTTATTGAAGGCACATAGATTTGCAAATCTCTCACCATTTTCGTTTCTTTCTCCCAGTCCGTGTCGTCCCATGATGTCTTCATATCCAGTGTTGTCCGTTCCAACCTTGGCGTTGAAATCTCCCATCAGAATGGTCAGGTCCTTTGTTGGGCACTTCTCGACTATTGACTGCAGCCTATTGTAGAATTGATCCTTAGCGTCTTCATTGTAGTCGTTGGTAGACGCACAGCATTGGATGTGAATACCTTAATACCAATTCTTTTTTGTTTTACATTGAACTTACATTCGTGTTTCGATAACTTGCTTCAAATTTCATTTGCTTACCTACAAAAGAATGTAGTTTACACATTCACAATTAATATTTATGTTCCATGAAAACGAATACGTTCATTTTAATGGTGAATAAATAATTAGATTGAATTCATTACTATAAGAAAGCGATTTTGTGGAGAGTATAGTACAGTTGAATTCATGAGTCGACTAAAGCTAGACCACCATGGAAAATCTGAAAGTACTGGACGCCCGTTTCGTCCTAGTATAAGACTCTTCAACAATGTGCATCCATGGTCATGTCCTTTAAACAGCTAAAGGAGTAACTATCCTGATGAAGAAACTGGGGCTAAGTGTATGGACGAAATATCTTCAACCACTCCTCTTCCACTGTTTAATCTCAAGGTCAATTCTTCAATAGTAATCTTATCTATTGAATTACCTCATCCGACTATTGTAGTTACGATCTTTCGTAGTAATTATAATTGTCTTTCTAATCTTTATCCACATATCTTTGTATTATTATTATTATTGTTATTATTATTACCATTATTATTATTATTGGTTGAACACTATTATCAATCTCCCCTATACATGATTCATTTACTTTGGACTCATTCTACTATTGTTCCTCTCACCCTATTTGACCTATATTCATTCTGATCATGGATCTTAATACTTTCACTTAACATCTAAACTGATTCAAGTTAACATGGTGAGACTATCATTGATGGACGAGCCAATCAGATTTGAGATAGCACGTCTTGTATTTTGGCGCAAAATTCATTCATCCATTTAGCTAAATAACGTTTTTGCTATTATAACTGATATCAGTTCGTTATGAAAAACCCTAAATCTAATTCCTAACCTCAACCGTCGACCATAAATCATAATCGTTATTCTTCAAACTGTTGTATAATCCTCATTTAGCCTTAGTAACTAGGTGAACATTCTGTAAGTCACTTTAGCATCGCTCAAAGGTCATCCACAAATTATAATCTCATCGAACCTCAAGAGAATTTGTCAATATGAATATTCTTCGATCAAATATTGATCTTCTGATCATGTTGATTTTATAACAAAAGAAGGTAAAACTTACTTTTACAGTAGGGTATAATTTTCAATTGGTCATGGATATCATTAGTATTGAACTGAAGATGTATTCTGGTATTGTATAGAAAAGATAACCAATAGTAGAGATGAAAAGAAAACTAAATAGTATATCAGAAGAGTAATAGTCATGAGTCAATTGAAGCTAGACCTCAATGGAAAACTTGGAAGCACTAGACGTTAGTTTCGTCCTATTGTGGGACTCCTCAGCATTACGCATCCCCAGCCCCACGCACGGGACTCGAACCGAGGATCTTCGATCTTGCGCGCGAACACGATGTGAATGTCCAACTTCAACCAATTCATGGTATTGCATGACCGTCCATCACATGGTCCAGATAGGATGAGAGAAATAATAGTAAAATTACAAGTTCAATTGAATATCTAGTGGAAGACTTTGGGTTTTTCATTAAATTATATGAAATTAAAAGGAAATAATATGGTGTGGTGAGTGTTTCGTGCCTTAAAGTAACCCTCGTGCTATTGATAGAAGAAATCAGACAAGTAGTGTTCAGACAAACAAAGGCTCTCAACATTCAATATGAGATAATAGGGAGTATAACGCTTATACAAAACAAGGAAGTGAATGAATACTTGAACAGTACTGTTTTGGCATATGCTTGGTTGTTTGGGGTTAACTCCTAACCAACCAACCTAAGCTTTTACAAGTGCTTACTAGATTAGCATTGTATCCGAGAGATCAATATTATTAATAAATGAATAAAGATAGCAAAGAAAATTAAATCTTGATCAGTCAGTCAGTCAGTAACAACGTAGAACTTCGTACGTACGTACATCAATTCGAGTTGCCACACCACATTAGCATAGAGATGCAGTGGTCGATTCAAATCCCGTAGTGGTAGAGTTAGTAAGAGTATAAGCAGTAATCGGGAAGATTAGTGTTTGGAGATATTAGTTAAAGAGTATAATACAGTGAAATAAATTTGAGAGGAGAAAAAAGAGACAAGGAGGAATAAAAGGATCAAAATTTGGGAGAACACAAAGAGTGTATGCTCCCGCGCCATTGCAAACGATTTTGAGCTATGTCATTCGGGGTCTCTAACCATCGGTTGCTATCGTCTCGCAGATCCCAACCGGATAGTCTACACCCACTAACATGGCTCATTCCACCTGTCAGTGACTTCATGGATTTGTGCCATGTTTTGGTCTGACCGTCCCTATTTTCTTCCAGCCTACTCCTACACCAGAAAATATCGCACGTCGGTCGTTGGGCATACGTAACACGTGTCCAAGCCATCTCAACTGATGAAGATTAACTACGTCATCAATTGATTTGCCATCCTTACCTAGTACCCGTTTCCTAACAACTGCATTACTTACTCAATGGTCTCACGATATACAAGCAATATTTCGAAGACACCTATGGTCAAATACTAGTAACCTACGAATATCGCGATTATATCTTAATATCATGATTGGATCAATCTGAGACCATCATGAAAAACCTAGAAGCACTGGACTGCTGTTTCGTTCTAGTATGGGACTCCTCAGCAGTGTATATACAAGATCCTTCACGTAGGACTCGAACCCACGACCTTCGGTCTCACTCATGAAAACCGTTGGATGCCGGCTCAGTGGTCTAAAGGTTAAGTGTTAGCGCGGAAGACCGAAAATCTTAGGTTCGAGTCTCATGTGAGGGATCGTGGATAAGTACTACTGAGGTGTCCCTCACTAGAACAAAACGGCCGTTCAATGTTTCCAGCTCTTCAATGATAATCTGACATTGATCCATTCATTATATGGAAATATAATTGTATTCTTATTTCTCTTATCCTATCTGAACTATATTTATTCAGATCATGAATCTTATTGATGCAAAAGGTTTAGTCTTTATTATTTATCAAAGAACATTCAGTCAAAATTAATTAGAACTCACTGGTGATCAATATTACATTCATTAGAAGAATCAATTGTTGTTTTATTGGGATTCTCTAATTAATGAAATAGAAAAATTAAAGTGTAATACTGCAGGTAAGTATTTGTAAAGATTGATTAAATGTATCAATGATATTTGTCACTAATCGATTTCTTTTCTAAGAGTATGGAATAGATGAGTTCGAATTTCGTATACGGAGTCGTGAGTACGTGGGATTCACCTAGAAGAGTTGGGAAACCCTGATTCCATACAAATGGTGCACATAGACTCTGGTATCCTGAAGGAACAAATAACGTATGACCCAGTCGTTGGTCATCATCTACCATGGGACTGCATCTCCTGATGTTGCTCCACCTGCTTCGGTTTGGGCATCCGGGCAGTATCACAGCCAACACACAAACCAAATTATTTATATGGTGCATATCTATCTGGTGCATCCTTGTACCAATGTTTATGTGTTTGAATAAAATGAAGTGCTCACTTCTGAGGAATCTCATATTGGGACGATACGGCTAACCAGTGCTTTTAGGTTTTTTAGAGTGGTCTAGCCTTAACCGACTTATGAATCCACAAAACCCTCTTCTGATAATATTTGGAATTCTTTAAGGAAATCCTACCAAACAATATACTGAGTATCGATAATAAGGATTTCTCAAGTTCTATGAATTAAGGATATGTCTTCACCATTATCTAATGTCATCTACAACTATCCACACAGATTATTTCATATGTATCTTTCGTTCTTTTTGTACTATATCCACACATAGAATCTTTCCCTTATATTTACACCATTGAGCTAACTGCTTCTATGAATCCCGTGTTCATCTTGCTGTGCTTATGAGTTATGGAAACTTGGACTGATGCATATATGTGTCTGGTCCTTCGTTGTAATTGAGTAACTGGATCCGCTCTAATTCATAACTTGATGAAAACAATAGGTTACGAATACACCAAAGACACTTCGAACGTGATTAAAACTAGAAAATGAGTATTTTTTATTATATCTTGAAGCATATTTTAGGATCACTAGTTCTCATAAACTTCACTTAGAGCCCTTCTAGATTTACTGCCGATCTCAAGCCCGGATATAGGAGGACGGTTGGGCATGGGGTTAGTGACTCCATCCTGTAGAAAACTAACTTACTATTGAGTGAAATAGTGAAGAGATACCAAATTTATGTTCAATATTATTTAATCTCAAACCGGCTTCCATATTCAAACTGACCTTCCTATTTTAAAATATACATACTAGTTACTTTAAGATACTATTGCTATACTCACTTGATACTGTTTGATTTGTATCTTCCCATTGAGGTTTAAGACTGCGATTGATCAGTCTCTTATTGGCATACGTGCAAATTGTGCGTATGCCTAGGTATTGCCTAATTCACAAGCTTTTTTAAGCAATGATGGATAGTGGCTAGCAGTGGGATCCAGGACGCGCGTTTCGTCCGATTTGGGACTCATCAGCTAGACGGGAAGATACAAGTCAAACAATACCAAGTGAATTTAAATTCACTCCATTGCACAAGCAAGTGGCTTTCAGGATTCAGTAGCTGATTGGATAAGGTGGTGGCGTTTGAAGCGAATGGTACTGGGTTGGAGTCCCAGAGTGAACATCAACTCTGAGATGCAGGCGAATCCGGCTGACGAGTCCGAAATAAGACGAGCTGTGCGTCCTGAATTCCACTGCTAGCCACTATCCATCATTACTATTGCTATATTATAAAATCTATAGAAATTCAAGAAAGGAGATTGTAACCTACGTTGGTTAACTTGATAATCAATCGGGATTTTGTTGACTGTTCCAGTTTTAGGAATTATTGCTAGTAGATGTTCAGTACGATTTAATTTTTGAAAGAATTTTTTTTCTTTATAGAAGATGTTTTACCTTGGGATATTGTATTGATAGGAGTAGCATTGATGTTTTCATGGCTTGCTTGGTTTCTATTAAGATAAAGGATAATAATAATAATAATAATAAAGCTGTGTTTGTAGCCAGAAGGTGATAGAATTCGGAAATATGAATCATTCGGTTAAAGCTAAGATTGTGTATAAAGATATGATGCATAAAAAAATGTATAAAGTCTCTTAAATCTCACGGCATAAGGGAAGACAGAGGAGTGTATACACCGACGCTATTGTGATTGATTTTGAGTCATGTCACTCAGAATCTCCAACCAATGGTTACGATAGTCACGCGGACCACAACCACTTGCTGATGAACATTATCTAGTTTCCATTGTCGTAAACGCAGTTTCATACGAACAGAAAATAGACTTTTATTGCTTCCTGGTCTTTAATGGTAACTCAACTGGAATCAATCCGTTAAGAAGACTCAATACAAATGTGACTGGTATATCGCGAGGTTGACATATATTTCATTTGTTATCCCATGATAACAGATAGACCATACAGATACATGCCAACTATCAGGAATCCTAGGTTAGTTGATGATTGATAATGCACGTATTACATCTCAGGTCAATCTAGCTATTAGTACCAGCGTTATTTGATCCGTACATTCTGTTTCATACTGTAGAAAAGGAATCATAATATTTGTTACTAGTCAGCTAAAAGTTATTTCACTGGAAATGCTTATAATTAGGAAATAAACGTTTCTACACATTGAACTCTGTAGAGCATTCTAAGGCAAATCACCTAAAGCCTTTAACCGTTTGTAAAAACAGTAGCGCGAACACGAACCTGTTAGTCTTCATTTTTCTAGATTTCTCAGCCTAGCAGTCAATGACTTCATAGATTGATCATAGACCTTGATTTGAGCATTACTAGACCTCTTTCGGCTTTCTTCTAAACCAGAAAACATCGTGCTCCAAGGTAGGTGGTAGATGGGCACACACAGTATATGTACTAAACACTTAAGTTAAACATAAATATGAAACTTTTTATTCTTTCGATCCAACTGCTTAATGCAATTCATTTATTCGAAGTCGCTGAGACAAATGAAATTCACTGGAACCATAGAGTTACAAATTTAAACTAGCAGGAACTTATATATTAAGGATATTATGGATGTATTACAAACCCACATACATGAAGTTTAAATGAATTATATCACTTTTTGAAGTTTAATAAAGATGGATTTACAGCTTAGCCATCTGCTCGTAGTTGCTGACAGATATTAACTCACAACAATTTATAATAACTCCAGAGCTAATTTTTCAGTCTAAGAGCAATTACATATTTTATAGCAAGGCTACATCGTTATTCACCAGTTATAGAAACTTGAATTTAACCACTGTAGTTTGTGGAGGAATGAAATTCTACTTATCGAAAAGTTCTCAGTTGCCTTCAATACGACACCAACCTGTTTCCGTCATGTCAAACACTTTTTAGTGAATTCGCTAGAATATTTTTGGTTTTGTATACAGTGTTCGTGCATCCTAAACGTGAGAACTGTATGCAAGCTGCTAGCCCCTGCTTAAAAAAGACAGTGAGCTTTTGGAAAAGCTCCCGTATGATGCTCGACTGGCCAGGCTAAACGTATTCCCGTTGTCGTATCGAAGAACTAGAGGCGATTTGATTACAGTTTTTAAATTGCTTGGTGATAAATTTGCGTCTGATATGTCCTCATTCTTATTGTCTTCCAAAACAGAGAATTTACGAGGACACTCCAAAAATGTTCACAAACCCAGGACAAATTACCTGTCGACTGACTATCGACTTCCTCATGGAATCATCAACGAGTGGAATTCATTACCTCAATACGTGGTTGAGGCTCCATCTGCCGACTCTTTCAAAAGAACTTTGGATCAACTGAGAGACCACCATTGTCAGGACTAACACAGGCCGTCAAGCATCCTGTCCTTTCCAAACTGAAACTGATTTGTGCTTGGTTATTTATCAGTTTCCAAAATGAAGTGTGTGATCAAATTAACATCATTATGTATGAGTTATATATCGTGATAATGCTTCACACGTTTCCTCAGGTTTGTTTCACTATAAACGTTTAGAACGCATATCGCATATCGTTCGATAAAACAAAATGGAACTATGGAGCTCCGCAATGATAGACGCTTTTGTCAAGAAATTGACTAACTAAAAAATATGCGTGTATTTTTCTGTAACTTATAGTATTGAGCGATATAAAAAGTGAAGTTGAAGAACTATGAATTATCATATGAAGGACGAAAATTTAGGTGAATAAATTATCAATAGTGGCAAATGTTTGTATGATTATACTGTCAAACACAAACATAATTATTTATATTATTCTTGTCATTCAGACTTTAATTACCCTGGCGTATAGCATGAACAAAAACAAGCCTAATCGTTGTGTTTTGCATGTCAAATTCGGTTACTATGCCAATGACGATTTCATGGACGTTTTCAGTGAAACGGATATTTAAAAAGGAACCTCGGGACACAGTACTTTAAAATCACCCATAGATTTGATGACCTTGAAAACCACAACTACGAGGGAATGTAAACACTTTTATAGGGTAGAACGAAAGCAGTTGCAATTTGAAAAAGGCACGAGGCTAGGTGGCTTACGTTAGTCTTGGCAATGATAGTCTTTCACTTGATCCAACATTTTTTTGAAAGAGCCAACAGACTCAGCCTCAGTCACGTACTGAGGTAATGAATCCCACTGGGTGTTCATTTGATGGAAAAGTTGATAGTCAGCTGACAAGTAATTTGTTCTGGGTTTGTTACCTTCTTTGTAGAGTACTTTATCTATAAAAAAGAAAAATGATAGCATGTCACGTGCAAATTTATCATCAACAAATTTGAATAATGTAATCAAGTCACCTCCAGTTCTTCGATATGTCAATGAGTTACAGTTTAACCGTTCAAAAATGATACCATCCCTTTAATATATCCAAAATTCTTTTTCGATGACGTATGAATAAAGACTAATCGAGCTAATGTCGCACGTTGAAATGAAGAAGCTGTTCAGTATTTACAACATTTCAACAATGGTCTAAGATTGATAGTTTCATGATGAAGAAACTGGACATTGAAAAGGAAGTTTCATCTTGAACGACAAAACAGTAGTAACGGTTGTGTAATGAAAGTTGCCAGGACGTTCATGCCATGGTAGCCGACATAAATAAATTAAATATGTTCTTTCATTGGTCGCTGCGCAAGTTATCAAATTAAGACGTCATTGTAAATTAGTCGACTATTTGATTTTGGTTATTATTCAATCCTATTAATTAACGCTGGTATTAACTATAGCATTGATTTTCACCGGTTTACAAAGCCGAAAGAACATGATGAACATGATGACGAATGAATAAAGATTAATTGATATATTTGTTTGAACGGCTCAAAAAGTACGGCAAAGCCCCAAGAGGTTCTTAAGATGCCGAAGAGATTCCATCTAACTAGAACCTGATAGAGCCTTCTAGAATATTAACGTGGCGTGCTACGACTAGATGATTACATAAATTGTCTTCTTGCTGAATAACTGAATTATATCGATGCTATAGCCAATGATAATATCTATAAATGTCCATGTTTTTCTATGAATATTTTACTCTTACCAGTTATTAACTTACCCTACTTCTTCTGTCTTTTGATTTGCGACCGTGGGGTTCGACACGTTCAACTGCTGTTAGTTGTATATCGTATTATGCCGTGATTAAGTAGAAAACGTAAAAATATACACTTTTTCATGAAAATTTGACTACTGAATCCATTAGTCGTTAAGAGAAATCTATTACTTCTGATTTTGTACGAATATCATTCTATTTTTCTATTTATTGGATATTTTTGTACTGCGTTTTTTGACAGCTTAGTAAACCTTTACATTCTAAGATTAACTCAAATGTGTTAAATGTGGTCAACGAATTCTTTTTCCGATTCGTGGAAATCACATCACCACCTGGTGTTTTAAGACCTGTCGTTACATAATTCATTGTGAGGGGCACATTATGTAACGGATTTATGAAAATGATAATATAGTGCTTATCGGCAAATGATGTCTTGTTATTACGCTGATCCTCGCAAATTGAGGTTCACTCTAAGTCACCGCTATCAGCCGTAACTTGTTGTTCTAGTCACCCAAGAATTCCTGTTCACCCTGCTTGTGGTCGAAAGTTGGTTTTCATTCATAAGCTAAAGTTGCTTTATAAATAGAATCACTATCTTTTTCAATTAAGTTCCACATTCGCAGTTCTCTAACATAATTGTGACATATTTGCAGCCCAGTGTTAGTTAATTAGTCATATGCCATTACACAACCAT